TTGAGCATCAAAATTAGGAATATAGCAAGAGAAATTCTATAAATTAGTTAAATCAAAGAAATTTATTGGGAGGATGATGATATGACTGATGAATAATTTTTATCTGATATTTGTGGAGATTAAATCAATTTAAATAAAGGTAAATCTGATAAGATACTGCTTGGTTCTACCTTATCACAAGTAAGCTATTAATTTGTTTAAGAATTTAGTTAAAGTTTTATCTTAAAAATAGACCAAGCCTGCAAATTCATTTAAAAGTATTAGAAATAATCATAATGTTAGTTTTTAAGGGAGTATAACTAACGAAAAAGCTACAAAGAGTAAAAATAATTTGAATTCTAGCTTTTCAAATAGCATTTAGCAAGAAAATTTGAATGAAGAAAAATATAAATAACAAAATAAAGCTCCCTTTCTTACAAACATTTTGGATTAAATAGACTAAAACAGTAATGTTATTCGTAGCAAGAACAATTTCAATAAAATCATAAATAGTTAAAATACAATAACTCCAAAGAAAATTATTGGTGACTCAAAAACATTGAATGTTAACTATTAAATTAATAGCAACATAGCAAATATGTAAGCAATTAACAGTTTAAGTGATAAAAAAGATAATGTTGTAAAAGTTAATAACCACCACACCTAATAAATAGCTCCAAAAAATATAAACATAAATGAAGCAATATTATAAAATTAAAATAGTCTTTATTAATAGTAATAGTAATCTAAAGTAGAAAAAAAAGTTATTTTTTATACTCCCTTTTAAAATGAAATCATGAAAAAGGAAAAAGACAAAGTAGTTGATTTAAGAACAACTGAATTCAAGGTAGAAAACACTGCTAACCAATTAACAAAGAAGTCTAAAAACAAAAAAACTAAGCAAGAAAAGAAGGAATTGCCTGAATATAGCGAAAATTATACTGGAATAGAAAGCTTTGATGAAAGCGATAATAGTGAAGAAGGCGATAATGATGATGAAGATTAATAAATTTTATAAGATTACACTGATTATTACGAGTAAAATTATATAGAAGAGGAAGAGTACTAACTTTCTAATCAAATAGTCAACATAAAAAAAGAATGTCAAGAGTTAGATAACGATCTTTTTAGTCTTAGAGACTTACTTTAAGGAATGAGAGGAGATTGGAAAGAGTATGAAGAATTAGGAGCTGAATTCGAAGGAATAGATTCGTTTATCAAGGAGGTTGATATGTTTTAAAAAGAAAAAACCACATACAAATGAATAAATGAATATACGAAGGAATTATTGAATAATAGAATTAATTAATAAATTATAATGCATATTTTTAATTAAAAAAGAATTATTTTAAATTACTATTTTATTTAATTAAAATGTTTATAGAGTTATTTTGCTACTAAATATGTATATAAAAGATAATTTATTGTTTTAATTAAAATATTAGCACTATAAATTTATAATTTTTTAATTACAAGCTAAACTTTTTATTAATTAAAAAAATATAATAATAAATTTTAAAAAGTAACTTTAAAAAACACACAAAAAATGATAAAATTTTATTTAAAAAATTTAATATTTTAGTTTGAATTATTCTTATCAAATAATAGAGATTATTTTAATCTATAATAATTATTTAATTATCAAATGTGTAAAGATATTTTTTAAATTAAATTGTATTTAGTTTAATAATCTGTTTAATGATGTAAAATTCAATTCATACAACATTTCTGTGATTTAATATTGCTTATTTAAAGCTATTTTTTATTAATATTTAGGAGTAAATCTTTAAATTATAGTTATTGGATATGCTCTAAGTAGCAAAATAAATACATTGAATAAATACTTATATATGAACAAATAAATAATTAATTTTGTAAGGTAGTATATTTAATGACTTTTATTATATTTTTTTATATCTTTTTATAATATATAGAACAATTAGATAGTTTTTTCTTAGGTAATTCTAAGTAAGAGAAGAGAAAGGTTTTTCCCGATAAGAAATGTGTTAATAATATGCTATAATACCATCGATATGTTTAATAAATAGACTTTATTAAAAATTTAAAGCTCCTATCAGTTTATTACATGAAAGTTAACTAGACGAATATTTTTTCTAATAGCAGAGTAGAACTTGTTTAAAACATTAGAATGGCAATCTTTTTACCTAAAAATTTAAGAATTAAATTTATTATTTTTTTTATTAAAATTTGAAATACTTAATTCCAAAACTCATTTTAATCAAGGAGGAAAATTTAATCATTCTTCTTATCTTTTCTAAAGTGGTATTTTAAATTCTATTCTATCTTTAAAATAAAAATTATTTAAATTAAAATAAATTAAATATTACTAAATGTCAAGTGATAGAGATTTTAGGTATTTCTACTAAGAGAGTTCATTTATTATTATTTGAGCAGTCTCGCAGCCAATATTATTTTATCTTATTAATTTATAAATGTATTTTAAAATTTACTTTTTGTTTTAAAAGTATATTTACCTCAAATTCAGGTCAAGCTCTGTTAGCTATTTTTAGTTTTTAACTAGCATTACAAAATCAATTAAATCTTTGCTATTTAACTAACAATCTCTTTTATAGGTAAGGAAAATAAATAAATTAATTAATTAATATTAATATAAGAACTTTACTGATAATCTAAAGACAAATTCACTATACTTTAAATATTATTGATGTATTTCATTAAAGTAACACAGTCTTCTGATCTTAAATTGTTATATCTTAAATATTTTTTAATTATAATATATTATAAAATTATAAAAATATTACCTAAAACTAAGTTGTAGATGAGAAATTTATTTACAATTTTATAAATAATATCCTATTTTATCAATTCCATTGTTAATTCCGCATTCACTTTTTATTTATTATTATTGTAAATATTTAGAAAATCTTATCCTCTAATCAATATATTATACCTAAAGTTTATATTGAGGCTTCTTAAATATAGTAGTTTTTCCAAATTTTAAGCTAATTATTGCATTCCTTCAGAAAGTATTCTGTTTGATCTAAAGACAAAAGAAAACTTTTTAATATATTAAAATCAACTTATGATCAAATTTACCTAAAGGAAAGACTCAATATTTAAAGCTCAGTATACATTCCAAAATATTTAAAAGATTTGCTTAATCCAGATTTGCATAGATTATTTAGCCTATTAATTTTTAAAAAACAAATATTAAATAACTATTAAATATTAAATAGATCTTACGCCAGATCTAATTTAAGTACTAGCAAATGCTTGCATTTTTAAATTGCTCCACAAAGCTACACCAAGGTTGAAGAGTCTATTTAGCTATATCTTTAAAACAAGTCAGCTTACTGAAGCAAAATAATTAAATTTATTTACTTTAGTTCTAAGTCTAAGCACTTCAGATAGTTGTTATTAGTTATTATATTAAGGAGTTGTTTGATAGAACTTGAGGCAAAATTGGATCCTCTATTTTATATTAGAAAAAAATTAATTAGTTTCATCTAAAAATATATTTATCAATACTGCTATTTGAAAGTGAAGCTAATTATATTTTGTTATTATAAAAGAAATTAATTTAGATTACTGAGCACTATTATTCCACTCTGATTGTTTCTATTAATTTAATAATATTATTAAAAATCAGATTTCTTCAAAATTTACCCATTATTCATGCTTAACTAAAACAAATCAACTTTTTTGGAAAAACTCTTCAAATCAAAACAATTTCCCTGATATTTTTTCCTTTCATTAATACTAAATATTTTTGAATATTGAAATAATCTAATGATTAAATTTACTCAATGAACATATTTTTAATGGATGAAGAATCTTAGATGTAAAGATCTTCCATTTTATACTATTTTAAAATCACATCTAAATCAACTTCAAATAGATCATAGCCTACACTAAAAGGGGACTCCTTTGAGTTAAAACTAGCTAAAAACTATGCTTTTTCATCCATCGAATTGCAGATTTACTCATTTTGTATTTTTGATTTTTCATTATCAACCTAACTTTCCTAGAAAAATTGCTTAAACAAGATAGCTACAACCTTCATTTTCTTGTAGCTGTAGCATGCGAATGCCATTTATTTAGTGAAATTAGAGAGATTTTATAAGTAAATGTATTCTTAGGATTTAGTGAAAAATTCATTTAATGTGGTTAATACTTCCATATCTTAATTCATCTATTTTACATTTAAATCAAGAAGTCCACAAAAACTTTACTCTCTTTCTTCTATTTTTTTGCTTTGATTTTTTCCCATGAAATTGATGCTTAAAACAAAAACTTTCTTATTTTTTAGATAATAAATAATATTATAGTGAAATCTAATAATATTATTAACCTTTAAATAGCAAACCTCACTTAAATAATATTTCGACTACTAATATTATAATTGACAGATTTGTGACATCATATTTTTTATTTCAAATTATTTAAAGAATTTCTTGATTATAAAAGTTAAAATAAATCTAAGTCAAAAGTGATTGTTAATATTTTTGATTTTTTCCTCCTTAATCAATATTTTCCATATTTGAATATAATTTCAATTATAAAATAATTTATTTTTTTGTCTAATATGTGTTTTATAAAATCTTGTTTACAAAATAATTATTGAATATATTATTTATTTATTTTATTACTTTTATTAAAATTATATTTTTAAATAATTCATTAAAATTATTTTTATTTTTTAAATAAATTTTATTATTGTTCTATGTAAAACAAATTAAATTTTTTGATAAATATTAGATATTCATAAAGTTATAAAAATATTATAAATAAAAAATATGTATTTTGTCTTAAAAACAAAATAACTATTTATTCATACCATAATATATTTCAAGTTTAATCTTAAAACTATATCTATCATCAATTCAATTTCGCATATCCTTATATGAGTTTCTTTACTTTTTATATTTGTTGATAATTTTATTCTAGCTAAAAAGAGTGGAAATTAGTAACTATTAAAAGTTAAATAATAACTAATACCATAGTATCCATTACCAGAATAATTATAAATAGGTCTGAATGAATCAATTAATTAATAGTTTTTGTGCAAAAATACACTTTTTTTAATAAATTGAAAATAAGAAAATAATTTTCTTCACAGTTTTAATATATAATTTAAGCTTATTTTAACAAAATAAAAATAATTAGATTTCAGAATTGTGGAAAAGAAGTAAGGTATCTTGAATTCACAAAAGAAGTCATGAATAAAATAATTTTAATAATAATATTAAAATGTAATAACTATTATGAAATATTTATATATATATACGCTGTAAAGCATGATCTTTAATAAAATATTTATAATAATTTATTTGTATTTACTTTATCCTTTAAATAAATTAAATGATAAAATATGTAGTTATTAAATCAAAAATAAATTGATTTTTTAACTAATTTTTTCATTTTATAAATTTTCTTCATCAGCTTTTTTTCATTCTCTTAATTTAAATAATTTTCACTTTTTTAAATTAAAAAATAAATAATCCTAAAAGAAAATTATAAAAATTAAAACAATTTTTTAAAACAGAGAAGTATTTTAATCATAAAATAAATTTGAAATACTATTAAATAAAAATAAAATATGTGTATTTTTATGCAAAAATTCACCCAAGAATAAAAAATTACTAAAAATTCAATGTTAGGCTTGTAATACTGAAGCTTCTTTATAAAGCAGAGCATAAATTAAAGGCACCTTAGATTCCTATAGAATTTAATCTAAAAATAAATTTATTAGTATTAATATTCAAAAGGAAAAATAAATTAATAATAATAATATCTTAATTCAAAAATAAAATACTTATTTTCTCTTTAAAAAACAGTTAAGTAATATTTTACTATTTATTTAAAAAAATAAAAACTTCAAATTAATTTACTCAAATATAAGTGTCAAGATTTTAAGTTTGGACCAGTTTTTTAATACAGAAGCTAGACGAGATATACCAATATTACTTACTCCATTACAACTTTAATGAAAATAAAATCAAATAACTAATCATAAATTATTATTTATCATTTTTCAAAAATTATTTTTAATAGTTAATTCACTTGTTATTTATTAATAGTTTGATTGAAATCAATTAAATGAATTTTTAAAATTTTTTTTACAAAAAATTGAAATTCAATTCTTGGAGATTAAAGCAATTTGCTAAAGCCTGACTTATATTTTAAAAACCCTCATCATCAACCCAGTTACCTCTTTCAATATTTTTAGATATATTTTAGAGTTAAAAGAAAAGGAGTAGTTTTAATATTATTCCAAAATTATTTTATTGAAGAATATTTTTTAAATTTTTGATATAAAAAGGATTAAAATAATTTTAAATAAAAAACTGTTTTACCCCATACTCAATTTAAAGGTTTAAAGGTTAGTTAAACCATGAAAAGCATGAAATAAAGAAGATAACCCTTCTGCAGTAAATTATTGATTTTCCAATATTTTTAAAGTCAAATTTTGAATATTTTTACAGCTTGATAAAGCTGTGCCTAAAACTATTGCTCCATTTAATCCTAAACTATCACATCTTTATATTTTAATAATTTTATGATTAATTAAAGTCTCAAAAATAAAAAAAGTTTTTATAATAAAATTATTTGTTTAAATTTTAATTTCCATTTAACTAACTAGAGTTAAATGATCTTTAATTTAATTATTTGATATACTTTTAAAGTATTAGTACTACCTTAGTTCAAGTATTAAGGTTGAGAGCTCATCAAAGTTTGCAAATTTAGAAATCAATTTTGATTAATTTTTTAGAAAAATGTTTTTTGAACTTTTTAGATTTATATTTATTTAAAAGAAAATGATAATTAATATTAAAATTAAAATAATAAAACTATTATTAAATAATTTATTTAAAATAATAAATTAAAAAACTTGATAATAAAATAGATTTTAATTCTTCTCTTTGTTAATTTAATAAATTAAGAATAATGTTAAAATAATAAAACAAAAAAACTAAAATAATTATTACCTAAAATTAATTTATACATCAGTAAATGAAGTTTAGGATGAGTTTAGAAACTTTTAATTAATAAAAATCTATTTTAAACTTAAAAAAAAGGTTTAGTAATTACATCCATATCACTCTTAAAGTATTATATATTTTAATTCATCACTCTTTTATTTTAAATATTTTTTAGTAGTTTTAAAAGATTATCTTTATTTAAAGTGTCTATTTAATTTTATTACAATATATTGTTTTTCTTCATATGTTAAGGAAAATTATGATTTTTTAAAAAAGTACCTATTAATTAAAATTTTTTAAGGTAGTTAGAGGGGAGAAAAAAATGAAATAAATACTTATATATTTAAAAGGCTTCTTATGGTAGTTAATTTATTCTGTTAATTTATATATAATCTGAAAATAAAGTCAAAATAAAATGATTTACTAGATTCTTTGTGCCTAAAGAATAATTATAAAATAATACTTTAAAAATGTTTATTTTTTTATTATTGTCTCATTCTTAGCTAGTATGAGCTTGAATTTGACTATAAAATAATTTTAAAAATTGATTTATTTTATACTTTATTTATTTGAAATGAGCGAATAAAAATTTGATGATTTTCGAAGCTAAAAATTAAATAATTTTTTTTATTTGTTGTTAATAACAGATCAAAATAAAAACATAAATATCAATAAAGAAAAGTCTAATGACCAAAATAAATAAATATATCAAAAAATTATTTAATTTTGAACCTTAGTAAATTTAATTGATTAAATCTAATAAATAATTAGAATTTGAAAATAGATAAAAGAATATCAAATTAAAATTTCAAATATACTTTTTTAATAATTGCATTTTAATACTTTAATTTTATTGATTGAAAGTTATTTCTCATATATAAAAAGTATTTAATATTAGAATTTAATTTAAATATTTTAAAACTATTTTTCATTTCACTACTTAAAAAAATTTTCATAAATTTACTAAATAAATTAATACATATAAGCCAAATTTATAAATTTATTTATTTTGCATTTATTTAATTTATTATACTTTTCAACTTCATAATTCTTAGTATCCATAAATTTTTTAATAAAATGATATAGAAACTAGAAAAGTCATTAATATCTTTACACTAAGTATTTGATTTTATATTTCATAAGAATTATTCAAAATGCTATTTGTGGTTAATGATAAAAATGATAAAATTTCTTTGAATCATAATTATTAAATTTGAATAATTTCCTAATTATTGTATGGATATAAAAGAATAATTAATATATTTTATAATATTTGAAATAAGAGAGAAAGATAAGTAATAAATTTCTTACCCATAAAATTTAGTGTACTATTTTTAGTTATATATTTTATTAAATTTTTAATAAAATTTTATTTAAAAATATATAATTGAAAGCATTTAAAATATTCTTATTGAGAGATATTTTTATAAATTATTAATAAGATAGAAATTTTCTTATTTCAAAGAAAATATTATTATGATTAGCATAAATTTATATATTACTTTTTTTTATTTATAAATTGTAAATTTTGAAATAATAAGAAAAATTTTTTACTTTCTCTGTAAAATTTATAGGACTCAAAATTTTTGACCTTCACAATTTTAAGAGGGGGGGAGGGGGTCCTAATTGGTATATTACGGTAAAGTAATTTTATATAAATTTAAAGAATTTAAAAATTTTATTTTTTATTATCAATTTTTCAGCAACATTTTTATAGCAAAGAATATTTTTTTAGTTATGAAAATTATTTTTTATCATTTATAAAAAATTAGTTTTTCGCATAGGCAAGTAATTAATTTGATTTTTAGATTTCGTTTTTAATAAAGTGTAAACTAAATTTTATATTTCTGAATCAGGTCAATATAAATAAAATTTTTTTTATTAAACATTAGTTGCCTACATCACAAACAAGAAAATATATTTAAAATTTATTAATTTTTCTTCAAATCATTTAGATGTAAATTTGTACCCCTATTTTTAGTTTAAATTGTTAATTAAATTATGGATAATTTCAATATTATTATTGAATTTTTTGTTACTTTGAAATATAAGTAAGCAGGTAATCAATCTTGACCATAAAAAAAATTAGCTCTAAAAATTTATAATTAAAAAGATATTTATTTATAATTCCTCTTATTGATTAGAAAGTTGTTTATTTTTATATTTTTATGATTTAAATTTCTTGAAAACAACATTTTAGAATCTCAAGATCCTTTAGAAACCATTATTATTGCAATTTTTTTGTATCATTAGTAAATCTTTGTTTCCCTTTGGCTCATTAATATAAAAAAATGTATTTTTATGATAGTTACTTAAATGATTTAATATTTTTTTTACTATTAACTTTTAATATGTATTTTATAAGTAAATAAATAAAATTATAAGTTTACAATAATTTAGTAACTAATATGAATATATAAAATCATAATCAGATTGTAAAAATAATCAGCTTACTTTTAAAAGCTTTTTGATGATGTAAATACAATATAATTAAATAATTAATTTTTAAATAAAAATTTTTGTAGAAAACTAAATAAGATTAAAGCAAGATGTTTGAATTAATATATTTATACTTTTTTGTATATATTATTCAATTCTCAAATCATGTAAATGCAATTACATGCACCACTAACCAATGCTTTGATGTAAAAATTAGTAGATGCAGCGATATTTTACCTAATTATACTGGAGTAAATACCCAAGGAATGTGTGTTAGTGATAGAGAGAATTCTATTATAAAATTTTGTGCTAAAAATTCTAACCTAGTATGCATAGATTCATCCTAAACTATGTGCGTTTTACTTAATTCTAATCCAAATGATAATTTTATAGGGAGTTATCTGGATAATAACTAGAATTTGATTTGCATTCAATAAACTGATATCTAATTGAAGTCAATAAACCCATCTAGTAAAGAAAATTATGATTGATTGATATTTATAATAGTAAACAAATTAAATTTAAAAAAGGTATTTAATTCTTAATAGCAGGATATTGTTACAAATAAGACAACCTTATATATTAAGGATAATAAGTTCAAAGTAGCTTTTTGTGCAATTGCCCTAAAAAGTAAGTAAATTTAGGTTTAAAAAAGCTAATTTTGTTGTATTTTTATAAAATTAAAAGCTACTGCTATGATGGAATAGATTGCATTAAAATGGATCAAAATTTATATGCAGGAAAAAATACTGATGGATAGTGTGTAGCCCTATCAGTATCAGATAATATTTTAAGTTGCTTTGATGACGAACTAAAAATTTGCTTATTCTAGATATCTTAAAATAGTTCAAAATGCATATCTTATGATTAAAATGTAGATGTGATAGGAGTGTTTTACTACTAAAATGTAAATTACTGTTTGCAGCAATCTTAAATTAATTAGATAACAATAATAGATAGTATTTTTATTAACTTTATCTAATACTTTTTAATACCCTACTTTCTTTAATCTTAGGAATTGTAACTTTGAAATCAACATATTGTTATAACCACAATAAATTCTTATAAATTCCTGATAATAATTAATAAATAATTGGAATTACATCATAATTTAATTGCTTTCTATCTAATTCGCCTATTAATTAATCTGATCCAATCAAATTCTGTATTCAGGGGTAAGATAGATTTAAATTTGAATTACTTTTTTAATTTTTTTAATATTCTTTCTAGATACTGTATTTCTTAATAAAAATGCATCCTAATGAATAACTACAATGTAATCTCTAAAAGGCAAGACTCAACATGTGGTGGAAACTCTGAAAAAAATTTTTTAGAATGCTACACGTCTAATATTTATAAAACAACCTGCATAAACGGAGATTAATGTGAATTAATACTTTAAAGTAGTAACTTCGTCGTAAAAATTCTGATATAAATTTAAATTTACTCTTGTTATCTGCATAATACATCTAACTTTTTTTTTAGGGAGCATTGACAAATTTTAACTGCGTAAAAACTAATTAGGAGACTAATAGTAATATTTTTAGCTATTTTTTTGAAATTAATTATGTTTTTAAATTTTAAAAAAGTTGATACAGGACCTTAGATTTTGTACTGCTCTTAATATTTTTGTATAAGTGAATATTAAGATAAAATTGTTGTTGGGCATAATATATTGGGAAATATCTATTAAACAGTACAAAAATAGAAATGTTAGCAGATAGGTTCGTAAAAATAAGATTCTTTAGGATTTTGTGAAAGCTCAAATTCTCCTCAAATGTTGCTTTTTTTTTAAATAATAATTTATATTTTTTAAAAATAATTAATTACATAAATAGTATTTGCCAAGATGATAACTAATGCTTGTAATATAATTCTGCAAAAAAAAAAAAATTGTGTGTAAAATTAACAACAGATTTAACATAACCTAATTTCGCAAAAGAATTAAATACATAAAATTGTTTGTCTTATTAACCTATCACTGGTAAGGCATAAAATATTGATAAATGCCCAAATGGATTTTGCATTTACATGTAGTCTGAAACTTAAAAGTATTGTGTAGCTCTTGGCTCTTTTATAAATGGAAATCAATACATAGGTGTAGAGCTTTTTTCTTAAATTTGTTTATAACAACTGCAACTTTCATATTTAGGTTTATTTAATTATTGATTAAAATATATTTTTAAATTTATGCTAAAATAGGAATTTCATAGTGTTATGGAGATAATTGTATCCTCAAATATTCGTAATAATAATTATAAATATTTAAGTTTATTTCTATTTTATTTAATTAGAAATTACTATGTATGTCATCCTTTACAAGATTCGAGCTAATACTTCTAAGCAAGCCAGAGTGTTAAAGCTAAACTATCAGATAGTACTTGTGCAGATCTAAATAAAAGTAAATAAAATTTTTAGTTAAATTTCAAAGATATTGTTATTTTTATGATTTAATAGCTGTATCTGTCAACTGTTTATCTGGAGATTATTGTATACTTAAAGATGCATGTGTTCCTCTTGATAGTAGTAATTAATTTACTATTGGAAGAAACTTATAAGACTAAAAATGCTTACCTTAGAATACAAGCACTGCTACAAATTGTGCATAAAATTATTGCTTACTTAATGGTTAATGCCTTCCTCTCTCTATGCTAAATCCCGGAAGAGAAAATTAAACAGGTAAATGCTTGAAATCAAATGATTCAGGTATGTTCGGAGCAAGCTCTTGCTATATTAAGTATTCAAAACTATTTTTAATATTTAATAAATTAGAAAATTTTAATTTTAAAAAGCTATTGCCTCTTAAAGGGAAGTACATAAAATTAAAACATATGTGCGATGATAGATTATTAATAGCCAAATTAATTAGGTATTAATTATATCTTTGAAGTTTTACAAAATTAAGATTTTTTATTCTGAAAAAATGTTTTTCTATATAAAGGAAGATACATAGGAACTGGTATTTGTGTGTCTCAAAATGACTAAAATATTCCACATTTATCATAATTAATAGTAAAATATTTTTGAAAGAAAAAAAAATAGAGTAGTTATTTTATAATTAAAGTAATTTTGCTTTAAAGGAGTTTATTGCATTGCTAGTAATAGCAATGGAGACTATTGTTAGAAAGTTGAAGGTATTTATAAGTGCTCAGATTCATTAGGAAGATGTATTTTGTAAACAGATACTACTACTCCATGTAGTAGTTGTTCATTTAATGAATGTTTTTAAAATGGAAATTGCATTGGTTTAGAAAATAAGTATTGCTAGGATAATAATGGTATGAAAAGTTTTTATTTTTATAATTAATTTAATTTTTTATTATTTAGGAAAGTGTATTGATGTGAATATATAAGGTTGTTAAGTATGTCCTTTGAATTATTGTCTTTAAATGCCATAATAAATCTGCTTGTATTATAATTAATTGGATACATCTTCTTATAGTTATAACGAATGCATATACTAATACAGATAAGATATGCCATGTTTCAAATAAAATATTGATGAAATAAATTAAAATAAAATATTGTTATGCAAAAATAAAAACAATTTCTGTTAAGACATAGTAAAAGCAAATCAAGAAAAGTAATGTTTAGTCTGCCCAAAATATTTTTACAATCCTGGAGATCATACTTGTTACCAATAAGTTAAACAGGCTTAAAATAGCTATTTCAATTATGAGCTACAATATATCTTGGAAGATTGTTATCCTAATCCTGATTGCTCATCAAACAGCTAAAAATGCCCAGAAGGGTAAACTATAAAAGTTTTCTTTTATTTGATGCTTAAAAATTATTTTTAATTTGATCTTTAAAGAAAAATACTTCTGTATTTGAGACAAAAAAAAAAATCTTATAAATATCTAAAAATATACTTCAGATTTAATTATAAATAGATTTTACAGTAAAACTTTAATACATTCTTAAAAATAATTTTTTATTATAGATGCAGAGTATGTTATGACTAAAATAAATGTATTTAATGCATAGAAGGATATTTTTTATATGAAGATGCTGCAAATTAGAATTATATATGTATAAAATGTCTTTCTTAATAGTACATATAAAATATTGATCCCAGCTCTTCACTATTTAAATTCATTAATCAAATTACTTACATGTGTGCTGAATGCAATTTGGAATTAAATTAATGGTAAAAATATATTACATTTAAATATTAATATTGAATTAATTTAATTAATTAATAGGGGAGATTAGACTTTAACTAATAAAATTTGTACTTAGATGGTGATTACTATTGCTGGTTTGTAAAAATTTGATCCTTACTTTAGTCAAACAATTTACTATTAGATTCAAAAGGGTCCTACACAAGAATTACCATATTACTAATAGTTCAAAAAACCACTTTCCAATTTATACTTGTAGTAATTATAGGTTTCAGATTAATGTAATCAATACTTTTATCGATTTTAATTACTTATACTAATACATTAAAATAAACAAGGTTCAAATAATTGCATAAGATGTATTTAAGATTAGTCAGGAGCTAATAAATGTTTAAAGTGTGACTATTTATTTTATGTTACACCTTAATATGTATGCTAGCCTTGTCCTTCTTAATGCTTAGAATGTGGAATGAGTATCTTATAAGAAAACCAGTTTTTTAATTTCGAAGATTTAAGTTATGAAGAATATCTTAGTGGTGTTTTTAATATGGATATTGCTACTTTTTCATGTAGGTTTTGTTAGGCAGGATTTTTAATTAATTTCGACTTTTAAACTTGTGTATAATGTGGAATTTAATGCTAAGAATGTGTTTACAGTAAATTTATTTTTATTTATCTTTAAAAAAAAAAGAAATATTAAAAAAAATATTTTTTGATGAATTTATAAAATAAATAAATAATTAAATAATTTTTTTTTAATTAAAAATTTTAATTTACAAAAATAATTTTTATAAAAATTTTGATACTAATAATGTTGATTTACATATATATTTTTAATACTTAGTGACAATTGATGGTTAGCTAGTTAATAAGAAATATTATAATTTTCATATTTATGCTTCATAAAATTTGATTCCTTATTGTTTAAAATGTTCTCCTGGATTCTAGCGTAGTGCTAATAGTAAATTTCACTTTTTAAATAAAGTTTTAATTCCTTATTATAAAAAGGGTTTGATTGTTCATAAATTGTGGCAAATACTCAACCTAGTTGCTATGACTATGATTTTATTTCTTCTATAAATTTGGTAAGTACAAAAACCTATTTAAATTATTATTATATTCCTGGAGAAACAAGCATATTTAATTGTAACTATTGCTATCCTAATACATGTTTACAACCTTAATTTAGAACCTGTTTAAATCTTGGCGCTCCTTTATATTTAAATAATACTTCTATTATCTGTAAGTCTTATTTTTAGCCAACAAATGTCACTTTTGCAGGTAGCAATTATGAATATAACTTGTGTTAATATGGTTATCCCTTAATTATAGCAACTAATGGTTAATTATCTTGTGATGAAAATCAATATTGCAAAGATCTGGTATTAAATAAAGATATTTATGTCAATTTATTTTATTTATTTATTTTTTATTTTTTCATTTAAAATAAAGATGCTGAATTGTTTAAATTGCTATGAATTTTAGAATTACTAAGATGGTTCATTGTATTAATGTATTTAATGTAAAGAAGGATATATTCCAAGTATAAGTGGATGTATTCCATGTCCAAATGGGTGTCTTAATTGCTACGAAGTAGGAATGTATTAGCAAAGTAAAGTCAATTTTACTAATATTTTTATCTATGAAAGATAAATATTATTAAGCTTAACACTTTAATAAAGAATTTAATACTATGAGCTATTTAAGGTTGAAATGCTATGTTCTATATGTTAAGAAGGAAGAATTTTGAGTAATACTCAATCATCTTGTGTTTTTCCAGTCTGTGGAAAATATTGCTAAACATGTATATTTTATTAAGATCAACCATTTTGTGTATAATGCAATTCTAATCTTTTGTTCTCTGAAATAGCTTCTATTTAAATGTACATAGCTCAAATGTACTTTAATACTGTATATTTTGATCAAATTAATTTGATGATAAGCTTCGATCAAAAGCAATAAAACTGTAAATTATGCCCTATGCTGTAATTTTTTTTTATTACTAATTTAAAAAAATCTACCAAAAAATTATTAGAGGTGGATATCAAAAATTTAGATTTATTTCAAAACTTTAAATATTTTTACCTTAATATGTAATTGAATTTGGTCTTAAAAATTATTGCTAAAAGTTATTTAATAAATATTAAAAAATAAAATTTAGATGTGAAACTTGCGAAGATAAGAGCAAATATTTTATTAATGGAGCCTTTGATTTATATGATTCAAAGTGTTACTCATGTAAATAAAAGATAATAAGCTAGTATTAGGAACTTGAAAGGTACGAAATAAGATACGATAAGAAAAAAATGAAATGTTAGCTTTGCTTAAAAGGTGATAATGGGTGTTACTTTACAAAGAAATCTCATGTTTATGTATTTTGTGGCACATATGAATAGAATTTAGGATCAGGAACAAAATCAGACCCTTATAACTTATTTAAAATTTCTTAAGTAAACATAGACAGATTAATACTTAATGAAGAAGATTTAAATAGAGCTTATGTGTTTTATAATGAGCTGTAATTGAGAGAGTTAGAACTTATTATTTAATATGTTGACTAAAGTGGTGTCTGCATTGAAAATCTTGCCCTCAATCTTTAAAGTAACTTGAAGAATACAATCAATTCTTTGAAGTTTATGACACTGACGATTAAGGCTGATTAAAATTAAGATAATAATACTTATTTTACAGTTTAGCAAATAGCTATAGCATAAATACAAGGATTTAGCTAAATTTAAATATAAAACATAAATTTTGTCTCAAAATATTCAAATGGAAATTTTGGCTTCTTTTCTCAAAATACAGAAATCAATTCAATTTAATTACAAAATGTAACATTTAGCTCTAAAAGCTTATCTCCTAACTTACTACAGTTAAGTTTTTAATTTTTTAATGGAATTCTAATAATTGATAATGTTTCTTTCATCAATATTACTACCAAGAATAATAATTTAATTGATTTAAAATCTTAGTAAATATCAACTCCATAAACTTATGAAATAGCAAATATTGTTTTCTAGAACTGCAATTTTATTACTAGTTAATTCTTCACCTTTTAGTTTTTTGGAATTTTAAATATGTATAATTTTACAATCAGCTAAAGTATATTTTAATAAAAGTCAACTTTAATTCAAGCCTCACTTCAAGTCTTTTTATAGTCTTCAGCCTTAAATTTAACTAATATTAACATCTACAAAAGTAGCTTTTATAACTCCATTATTATGTACTCTTAACATTTTAACAAAATAGTATTTACTTAAGTAGTAATGTCAGATAATAGTATAATTTCAGATTTTAGCTCATAAAACTAGCTACCAAGCTTATTTTATTTAGACTAAATATAAATTTCAGAATTTCAGTTTGTGAATAATATTTTTATGAACACACTAATATTCTAGCTACCTTCAATCTAATAAAATTCTCATATTATTCAATATAAATTCACATCGTTTAAGTTCTAGTCTAATTAAGTAAACACAAATTATGCTTTTATTTTTTATTTAAGTTTAAGTTAAAATGCAATTGTAAGCATTAATGATTTCTTAATAAAAAATAATAATTACAACATAAATAATAGTAAATACTTTTAATTTAATTCAGTAACAAATGTAACAATAAATAACTTAATAATTGAAGACGAAATTGTTATACAATTTTTATCTGTTCTTAGTGTTTAAAATATTAATTTAAACATTCTAAATATTGGGTAATAGATTTCTTAGTCTTCAGCATATAATATATTAGATTTTTAAATGGTAAATTTAACTTGCGTAATTTAAAATGTGATGATAAGATCACTAATTACATACTAATAATTGATAATCATACATTAAATAATGAATCAAATTAACTATAATGATAGGTCCTTATACTAAATCAAATTAGTTAATTTCACTTTTTATGAGATAGAGTTGAAAAGAATTCCACCTATCAGCTTTGAAGTTCCAATATAAAATATTATAGAAATTAAATCATAAGTTGATGGAATTGTTCTTATTACTAACTTTTAAGGAATTAATGTCTATAGAAAATTTAATAAAAAAGAGGTATAAATTTTATTTATTTTGAACATTCAAATAATAAAACCAATAATTTAAATAAGCCATTTAAATCTTTATTTTTTAAAACAAAAAGGAATACTTATAAACGTAATTATTTTTATCTACTGTCTTACTAATCTAAATGGAGATAGGCTTATTATAAATAGAAAATAGCTTTATTTAAACTTATTATGTTCATCCCTCACATAATATTTTGTAAATTAGATGCAACTAAATTAATTTAGTCAACTCTTCTTTTATTTTATAAGAAAACTAAAATACTAAATTAACATTTTAAGATTCTACTTTAAAAGGTGGAATACTAAACCTTATTGCCCCATAGGTATAAATATTTAATACCACATTTTCAGGAGGTTTAGCTTAGTAAGGAGGTGCTATTTATTTTTAAAGTATATTGCAGACTAAAGTATATATCTAATAATCTAGCTTTATTAATAACTGGAGCTTTAATTTAAAAAATAAATAAGAGTGTTATGGAGGAGCTATCTATTTTGATATTTCATTAAGCTAAAGTACTGTTGAATTATTCATCTTAAATACAATCTTTAAAAATAATCTATCTTTATACTAAGGAGGATCTATTTATATTTCCAATTCATTTCTTAAATTTTTTTTTGTCAGTTAACATAATAGCTTTACTGATAATTTATCTCTAATTGGAAGTAACATTTATTCTTTTTAGTCAAAAACAATTAGTCAAATAACAATATATGTAAATGTTGTTTCAATTACAGACAACTTTAAATTACTATCTGGAAATTTATTGACTTATTTCTCTTTATAAATGATAGAAAACAATGCTAACTCATTGTTTACCTTTTAAAACTTTTACAGCGTTGAAATCATTTAGTGCATATTTTAATCAAGTTAGTCAGATCAATAATTTCAAAATTTAAATTTAGCTCAGCTTATATTTCAATCAATAATGAATTTCAAATCTATCACTATACTAACTCTTGATTAAAATTAATACAATTAATTGTAAGTTTATAGCAACTTAATTAGTATCTCTAACTCTCAGAAAGTTTTGATTTAATGGGAAAATTTTAATAACAATAAATTAACTAATCTTCCTATTTATCCTCAAAATAATTAAATAAAAAGCTTAATATCAATCAATTCAAACTCAGTTATTATTAAAAAGCTAATATTCTAAAAAAATAATTGCGCTCTATGCTAATAAGGGAATATATTTATTAATTCAAATCACGTTTTTATATATTAAAGTATTTTTTAAGAAAATAATGCATTTAATGGAGGTTCTTTATACTTTTCTACGCCAACTTTATCAAACTCTAATAGAATTTTAGAATTTACAAATTTTAATGACTACTAAGTATAATTTAGCTAAGCAAATCAAACAATATTAAACTGCTCTTTTATTGGCAACTTAGCTTTGTAAAGTGGAGGATCTATTTTTATAGAGAGTACTCTAATTTATTTATCTAATTTATAATTTACTGGAAATAAAGCATAAATGTATGGAGGTGCTATAGCTTCTGATAATAAACTTGATTCTAAATTTTAAAATATTTAATTAACATTTTCGTCATTTATAAATAACTAAGCTCTTATAGGTAGTGTTTTATTTTAAATGCAAAACCTCCCTATTAAAAGGATGTACAAGAATACCTTGCTAAATAATTTTGCAAAATTATATGGAAACTAGTTAGAATAATCTGCTGTAGGATTTATTGGAATTTTAAATGGTCAAAAATATAATTCTAAAATTATAATTTAAAATTTTCTAAGTGGAATAATTCAAGTAAATAATTACAAATATTAATATTATTATTTTTATTTTAAAAGTTAATTTTAATTATTTTATAATCCTAATTTTAATTAATTTTAAATTATGAAAATAAAGGATGATTTGCAAATTTAACTTATAAATGCTGAAAATTAGCCAATATCATAATTAGAAAATGATATAATTCTTAAATTAGAAACAGACTAGGGAGATTTTTCAATTATTCCATCTTAGATAAAATAAAATAATGGTTTATTTAATTTATCTAATTTATTCATCTATGGAAGGTTAGGGTCATCGCTGAAAATTAGGCTTACTTCTGATTATAACTACATCCCTAATTATGACTTATAGGGAAATCTTCTTAATATTTCTTAGAATATTTATTTTGAAATACATTTTTAGTTTAGAAAATTATGTCCTAAGGGTACAACTCTTGTCTAAGATAATAGTAAAAAGGATATGTGTTATAATTGTTCCACTGGTACATTTAATTTAGCTGATGGATAAAACTGTAATAAATGTCCTTTTGTTTGCTAGAACTCGATGATGTATTTACCACGAGGATATTGGAGATATTCTTTAGCAACATATGAATACTAAGAATGCTATTAATCATAAAATTGTGTTGGAGATATTGATAAAGTAGTATCTTAAAAGCTATAGGGTAGTTCTAATAGATATTGTAGTGAAGGTAAAAAAACAATATTATTAAACAAAAAAATACTTATTTAATTATAAAATAAGGAAATATTGGAGTACTTTGCATGGACTGTGATACAGAAGGAATCTACTGGGAAAGCAGATACTAATAGATAACTCCTTATACATGCTAAGCGTATAAATGATTGATTAATAATATATTGTGATTTCCATTATAAATAATATCGATCATCATTTATTTTAATTTTATCAAAACTTTTCTGAAATATTATTTTTTTTGCTTAATCTAGCTCATTTATATTTATGATATTAAATAGAAAGTACAATAACCTTAAGCTTTAATTAAAATATTTTATTTTAAAAATTAGGTGTGATGGATTTAAAAATTTCTCAAGCTTAATAATATTATTGATAAATATATTATTTTATGGATTTATTTTAAACATAATAAACAAATAAATTCAAGTGTAAAAATTAAAAAAAGTATTCTATCTTTTAAAAGTTAATATCTTTTCAAATTCCAAATAATTCAACTTGATTAAAATCTTAATAAACTATTTAGTTGTGCTAACTTTAATTAATCCATTTATCAATTTACTACCTATATTCTTATAGCAATTCATATTTGAGTTATTCAATTTACCTAATAATATGATAAAGCTATTAGATTGTAAGCTTGCTCTTCTATTAGATACTTAGAAAATACCTTTTTGTCATTCAAAGATATTTATATCATTAATAATTTTTTTATTACTCTTTCTACTTATGTATATAATATCATAATTATACTTAAAAACTGATAAAAGAACAACAATCGCAGCCCTCTTTTTTGTCTAAATTCATAACATCCCTTATTTAGTCAAATTATTCATAGGAGTCGTAAGTTATATAACCGTTTAGGGTCAAAATTATATAAAAGATTGTCCAAGCTTAACATTGAATATTAAATAAGTTGGATTTATTGTATCAATCTCATTACTAAGCTTTTAAATTCTATTCTTATTTGCTTTACTATATTTTATGAAGACATAAAAGGATTTTCTTGAAAATGAAAGAGCTCCTCACTACCTTCGATTTATGTATCAAGACTACTATTATTACTGGTGGGAAATTGCCTCTTCACTTTATAAAGTACTACTATTTTTAGTTGAAGGAATTTATTTTTAGTAATAAATTTTAAGAGATACTATTTGCTGCTCTATCTGCTTTATTTATGCCACATCAATACTATATTGTAAAGTTTTGGTTTTATAAAAAGTTTAATTAATTATTTATTTTTAATAATTTTATCAGTTCTACCTTACAAAAGAAAGGAATTAAATTATATAGAAGTACTTATTAGCTTTGGTTTGTCTGTGAGTTTTGGTTTAATGAGCTATTTAAATTAGAAAAGCTATTAAAATGAGTCTTTAACAATCATTTTGTTTATAAATGTTTCAATATTAATTTTATTGGCCTACAGTCTATCTTAAAATTATTTTTTTTAATTTTTAAGCTATTTAAAAAAAAAGAAATTAAATTAAAGAAATTAAAAAAGTTCATAAGAGCTTTGGAAATAAATAAAGCAAAGTATTTTTAATAAAGAGTAGAATCTTTTAGCTTAATATTATAAGGAAAGGTAAGAGAAACAAATAGCTAAAAACTACTTAAGCTACAAGAAACTTGTAGATATGTAAAGAGTAAAGAAAAAGTAAGTTAAATAAAAAAATTAACCTAATGATTTAGATATAACTAAATGATTTTAATTGCTTTTATTAAAAATTTTTTTCAAATAATTATTTCAAATTTATATTCAAGTATTTATTTATAAGAATTCATTGTTTTCTAAATTTATTAATCATGTAAGAATAAAATTATATGATTTAAAACAAAAATAAAGTAAGTTAAAAGCCATTTTTTTTTCTTAATTAGGACTTTTATTTTGATAATTAAAAATATTGCATTTGCTTTAACTTAAATGAAATATAAGTTTGTATAGATAAATAATAAAATTTAATTAATATTTACTTAGAAGTTCAGGTTGATTGATAATCTTAAAAAAATTAGTTTTTATAATATGGAATTCATTATGTAGTAAATAAAAGTAATGAGTTTATCTTTTACTAATATAAATTGTTTAAAATTTAGTTTTTATATAAAACTAAAATACCATTATGAGATTTCATGTTGAAATAATTAAATTTAAATGAACATAAGTTTGTATTAACAACATTTACTTTGTTACTCACTTTATTATAAATTTATAATTTAAATAATTGATACCTTGATATTTACACTTTTTCTTTAGTATCTGATTTTAATAGAAAATTAATTTTGAGAATATAAGTAAATAATTGTCAAATTTAATTAGTATTGTATAGAACTCAATTATAACATTTATACCAAACATATGTTTAGATAAATTATTTTTTTGATTCAGTTAATATGAATAAAATAATAAAATAGTTATAAAATTAAAAATAAAAATAAAAATTTTGGTTATAACATTTTTTTCTACTTTTAACTATTTTCTCAAAGTAAATCTTGTGATAAATAGTTGCTGGTTGTATAATATTTTACTATTATCTTCATCCTTAAATTTAATCTTATTTAAAAACAAATAATAAATATAATTTATTTTTTTTATTTCTAAAACTTCTCTATAAAATATTTTCATTTTTTTTTATTTTGTGGTTATTAATATGAATATTTTGTATATTAATTTATCTTTCCTCATATAGTTTAATTTTTCACCTGCTTCGTCATATATTAGTTAGTATATTGGATTTTATTATTTTTCTTGATATTTTAATTTTACAATTATTTATATTCATTTCTTTTTTATTTTTTTTTGATATTTTTAATTTAAAGTGATTTTCAATAAAATTAAAGAATTTAAAAATTATTTTTTTTTATTATCAATTTTTCAGCAGAATTTATATTGTAGAAAGAAGAATGTTTTTTTTATTATGAAAATTGTTTTTTATCATTTTTTACATATTTGTTTTTTACAAAATAAAGTAATTTGTTTGATTTTTAGATTTCATTTTTAATAAAGTGTAAACTGAATTATATACTTTTAATCAGGTAATTGTGAATAAAATTTTTTTTATTAATCATCAGTTACCAGCATCAAGACAGGAAATCATATTTAAAATTTATTAAATTTGTTAATTTTCCTTCAAATTATTTAGAGGTAAATTTGTAAAGATCCCTTTTTTTAGTATTAATTGTTAATTAAAATGTGAAGTTTATTATTTGTTACTTTGATTTTTTATCTATTCTTAAATTTATTAAATGAATTATTTATTTATATAAATAAAATATAAGTAATTAAGGAATTAATATTGACCATAAAAAAAACTTAGTTTCTATTAATTTTTAATTAAAAAAGTATTTATTTTAAATTCCAGCCATTGATTAGAAGATTTTTTCTTCTTCTTCTTTTTTTATCATTTAAATTGCTTGAGAAGAGCAATATTTTAGAATCTAAAAAATATTCTTACATCCTTACCATTAATATAGTAATTATTTTGTATTGAAGCTTTTTTTTGAATGTACAAAATAAATAAATAAATAATTAATCATTTAAATAAATATTTTTGTAGAAAATTAAATAAGATTATAGCAAAATGCTTGAATTTATATATTTATACTTTTTTATACTTATTGTTCAATTATCAAACCATGTAAATGCAATTACATGCAGTGCTAACAAATGCTTTGATGTAAAAATTAGTAGCTGCAACGATATTTTACCCAATTATACTGGAGTAAACACCCAAGGAATTTGTGTTAGTGATAGAGAGGATTCTATTATATAATATTGTGCTAAAAATTCTAACTTAATATGCATGAATTCATCCAATACTATGTGCATTTTACTTAATTCTAATCCAAATGATGCTTTTATAGGCAGTTATATGGATAATAACTAGAATTTCATTTGCATTCAACAAACTGATATCTAATTGAAGTCAATTAACCCATCTAGTAAAGATAATTATAATTGATTGATATTCAAACTAGAAAACCATTTAATTTAAAAAAGGTATTTAATTCTTAAAAGAAGGATATTATTATAAAAATGACAACTTTATATATTAAGGTTAATAAGTCTAAAGTAGCTTTTTGTGCAATTGCTCTGAAAAGTAAGTAGATTTAGGTTTAAAAAAGCTAATTTTGTTGTATTTTTATAATATTAGCAGCTATTGCTATGATGGAAAAAATTGCACTCAAATGGATAAAAATTTATACGCAGGAAAAAATATTGATGGATAATGTGTAGCCCTATCAGTATTAGATAATGTTGTAAGTTGCTTTGATGACGAGCTAACAATTTGCTTATTTTAGATCTCTTAAAATAGTTCAAAATGCATATTTTATGCTTAAAATATAGATGTGATAGGAGTGTTTAACTACTAAAATGTAAATTACTGTTTGCAACAATCTTAAATTAATTAGATAACAAAAATAGATAGTATTTTTATTAACTTTATCTAATCTTTTTTAATATCCTAATTCCTTTAATATTAGGGATTGTAAATTTGAATTAAACATATTGTTATTACCACAATTAATTCTTTTAGATCCTTGATAATAATTAACAAATAATTGGAATTACCTCTAAATTTAATTGCTTTCTATCTAATTCGACTGTAAACTTATCTGATCCAATCTAATAATGCCTTTAAGGGTATGATCAATTTAAATTTAGATTACTCTTTTAATTTTTTATATATTCTTTCTAGATACTGTATTTCTTAAAATAAATGCATCCAAATGAATAGCTACAATGTAATCTCTAAAAGGCAAGACTAAACATGTGGTGGAAACTCTGAAAAAAAATTTTTAGAATGCTACACATCTAAAATATATAAAACAACCTGCATAAATGGAGATTCATGTGAATTAATACTTTAAAGTAGTAATTTTGTCGTAAGAATTCTTTTCTAAAATTTGAATTTACTCTTGTATTCTCATAATACATCTATCTTTATTTTTAGGGAGCATTGACAAATTTTAACTGCGTAACAACTAATTAGGAAATTATTAGTAATATTTTTAGCAATTTTTTCAAATTCATTATGTTTTTAAATTCTAAAAAAGTTGATCAAGGACCTAAGATTTTGTACTGCTCTTAATATTTTTGTATAAGTGAATATAAAGATAAAATTGTTGTTGGGCATGATTTATTGGGAAATATCTATTAAACAGTACAAAAATAGAAATGTTAGCAGATAGGTTCGTAAAAATAAGATTCTTTAGGATTTTGTGAAAGCTCAAATTCTCTTCAAATGTTAATTTTTTTTAGATAATAATTTATATATTTTTGAAAAATAAATATGTAAATAGTATTTGCCAAGATGATGACTAATGCTTGTAATATAACCCTGCTTAAAAAAATAAATAGTGTGTAAAATTAACAACAGATTTGACATAGCCTAACTTCGCAAAAGAATTAAATACATAAAATTGTTTGCCTTACTAACCTATCACTGGTAAGGCATAAAATATTGATAAATGCCCAAATGGATTTTGCGTTTACATGTAGTCTGAAACTTAAAAGTATTGTGTAGCTCTTGGCTCTTTTATAAATGGAAATCAATACATAGGTGTAGAGCTTTTTTCTTAAATTTGTTTATAACAGCTGCAACTTTCATATTTAGGTTTATTTAATTATTGATTAAAATATATTTTTACATATGTGCTAAAATAGGAATTTCATGGTGTTATGGAGATAATTGTGTCCTTAAATATTAGTAATAATGATTATAAATATTTAAAATTACCTATATTTTATTTTAATTAGAAATTACTATGTATGCCATCCTTTACAAGATTCGAGCTAATACTTCAAAACAAACCAAAGTGTTAAAGCGAAACTATCAGATGGTACTTGTGCAGATCTAAATAAAAGTAGATAAATTTTATAGTTAAATTTCTAAGATATTGTTATTATAATGATTTAATAGCTGTATCTGTCAACTGTTTATCTGGAGATTACTGTATACTTTAAGATGCATGTGTTTCTCTTGATAGTAGCAATTAATTTGCTATTGGAAGAAACTTATAAGACTAAAAATGCTTACCTTCGAATAAAAGCACAGCTACAAATTGTGCATAAAATTATTGCTTATTTAATAATTAATGCCTTCCTCTCTCTATGCTAAATCCTGCAAGAGAAAATTAAACTGGTAAATGTTTGTAATCAAATGATTCAGGTTTGTTTGGTGCTAGTTCTTGCTATATTAAGTATTCAAAATTATTTTTAATATTTAAAATGTTAGAACATTTTAATTTTAAACAGTTATTGCCTCTTAAAAGGAAGTACATAAAATTAAAATGTATGTGTATTGATAGATTATTAATAGCCAAATTAATTAGGTATTTTATCTTTGAACTTTTATAGATTATGATTATTAATTCTTAAATAATTTTTTACTATAAAAAGGAAGATACTAAGGAACTGGTATTTGTGTATCTTAAAATGATTAAAATATTCCTCATTAATCATAATTAATCGTAAAAAATTTTGGAAGAAAAATAAATAGTGATTATTTTATAATTTTTGAAGTAATTTTGCTTTCGAGGAGTTTATTGCATTTCTAGTAATAGCAACGGAGACTACTGTTAGAAAGTTGAAGGTATTTACAAGTGCTCAGATTCATTAGGAAGATGTATTTTGTAAACAGATACTACTCCATGCAGTAGTTGTTCATTTAAAGAATGTTTATTGAATGGAAATTGTATTGCTTTAAATAATACTTATTGCTAGGATTATAATGGTATGAAAATTTTTTAATTTTTTAAATAATTAAATTTTTATTATTTAGGAAAGTGTTTTGATGTGAATAAACCAGGTTGTTAAGTATGTCCTTTGAATTATTGCCTTTAAATGCCATAATAAATCTGCTTGTATTATGATTAATTGGATACATCATCTTATAGTTATAACGAATGTATTTACTAATACAGATAAGATTTGCCATGTTTCAAATAAAATATAGATGA